CACTCTTTGCTTCATCATCGACTGTGACACATGCTTTAATGCACCATCTGCGTTTACCTTCTTCAAATCGGAAATGCTGACACAATCACTGAGCATTTGTTCCATCTTTGCACCTCATTGATTACGTTATCATATCTGCATGATGACACGTTCCTACACATTTTCATTCATTAACTACATGTATAGTCCTGCAATTTAATAGACACACCTTGTACATATATGCAATGAAGCAAACTAAGCTGTAATGGCGTTAAAAAGTATATGGCACAGAATGCTGAAAAGTTGATCCAATATGATGAAGCAACTTGGCAGTAGAGGCAGATTAAATACTCATCTTTTATCTTAGGCAGATTAAATACTTAAAGCATGTTGTGACCACAAACAACTTGGCACTCTAATTCATGTCATTTCAAAGCATTTACATTTTTGATAGCTTTGCAGTAAGAAGAGAACGGCAAGCAGCAGTCTATCAAAGTAGAATGCAAGCGACTTGTATTTAGAATAATAATAAACAGCATAATTTCAGTAAAATTTCTTCAGTGATGTTAAATGGAATGAAAGTTATGAACTTTGCTGTGACTGCATACAATGATTAATGGATGCATTAAAAGTTTGTAATATTGTGTGAATTTTTTTTAAATGGCCTTCCCTAAACAAGTATCATTATGAAGATTTTAAACTTTAACTGTGACAGTTTTATTCCAAATTTGATTCTTGCTCTTAATCATCTTTCTTTTTTAGCATTTTTTTAACTTAAAATAATTATTGTAGACTAATGTTAAATTCTGTTTGCTAAATTTCTAACATATCTTAAGTATACAAGTTATTCATCTTAAACTTTTGTTTTAATTTTTGTATATTTATTTAATATTATTATTTATTTTTTTATTATAAGTATATACTCTAAAGGAATTTTTATGGCCATAAAACTAAATGAAAACTTTGATTTTTTTCATACAACACTAGAAACTAGTTACCTTGTGTAAGGAACAGAGGCTTTTAGTAATTATATTCCAGCATCCCATATCCATCAGCAAGTAGTTATGCTGATTTGCTTGAAAGGACTGCTTCTCATTGAAATTGTAAATATTACACAAAATTTCCCTTCTTCTGCTGACACTCTAATGCTTTTACCTCAAAAGGCTTTTCCGTTGCCAAACCTTTTTCTCATTGAAGAGGGGGATATAAAATTTGAAAGACATTTAATTAGCAATAAACCTTTAAATTTATAATTTTCAATTAAAATACAATCCCTTTAAGAAATCTGTATTTTCCCTGTTTTCCGTAGTAACTACAATCCAAAAACTCTTGCCCAACTGCTGTGAAGGATTAAAACAAAACACTCTAGATATTATAAATACTATTTCAACTATTATGCATTCTCTTTTGTTGCATATGATTGCTAGCTAAAGGATGCTGCTGCTTAATTTTCACAGCACCCATTCAGTGGCAAGATTAAAGTACAGGCACACACTTTGTGGCTGCCTTTAACTCTGCAATTGCTTTTAATTTAGATCCAAAAGGCATATCTCTTACAAAAGGTTTCCCCCCGCATGAATTTGGAAAGATAACATCTCTAGATCATGTTCAGCCATACCTCTTTGCCTTTTGTTCCACCATTTAAGAGAGCCCCACAATCTTTCCAGATTTTAGGTGTGAGCACCTTGGATCAACAAAATTAAATGCGTGATTTACAGCTAAATGGCTGTAACCAGCATCATCTGTTTTACAGGCTCGCCAACAATCTGAATGTATTGTCCATCCTTCCACTATATGTTTTACAGTCGTTAATATCAGTGTGCTTGCTTCCCTATTTAGAATTTAAACAAGAAAGCACTTGCTACTTTAACAGCATAACCCAGGGAATATACACTGTTGTGGAAGTAACCGGCCAGCATTATTTTTTCATCGCACAAACAAAACTCTCGTCAATTCCAGCTATTTTTGCAAGGCCACCTATTCCCCCTTTATGTTGTCCAAGTAGACCTAGCGAACAAACCTCTTATAAAAGTGTTCCAGTCAATCATGGTATTTCAACTGATGTTGAGTTGTTTACTGTACCACTTAAAGTGATGATAATTCCTCTATCCAACAGCGGAAGAAAATGCAGCAGTGTTAAGAATGGTATTCTGAAATCACTAAATCAGCTGTTAAACTGAATGCTTATTTTATTTATTTATTTATTTATTTATTTGCAACTTTTCACAATGTACCTCCACATGCTTTCATTTACATACAGTTTCATTTTGTGGCCATTTACACATCTCAGATTTGCGAGGTAAAGTATATTTTCCTTGGAAAACAATGCGGCAGTTACTTACTCCTTTGTAAATTAAAAATTATGAATATTTCTTCACAATGTTTACAATGAAAAAAGGCTATTACAATACTGCATTGTTACATTTGGCAAATGGAAGTAAATTAAAAAAAGAAACTATTTTGATATCAAGTGGTTACACACATTCATGAAAGAAAAATTTTTTACATAATTTGGCAAATTACCATGGGGTTATGTAAATCAAGTAGCACCACTGCTTTTATTTCATTTTCAAAAATGTAATGCATAATAATCAAAACAGTGTGGTGCAGAAATGGTTCCCAGTGTTTTGAGTCATGTCCTGAGATATGCCTGAATAGAGTAATCAAGAGATATGTTTGGATTATTAAACAATTTTCTAGTTCTTCAAAAGTCCCCATCAACTTCTATTACGTGATCAGAATTAAAACTCAATACACTTAGGATTTCAAAATAATTGGTGCCTTCCCTAGTCAAACACTCATCTAAAATCAAATTATCTGCAACGAACTACATTATTTACACACACACACACATATAATTTTCAGTACTTGGGCAGTCAAGCACCCATATAATGCCAACAGTTTGCTGCTGCCTTTTGGTGATGGAATATACTTTTATGTCAGCATATTTATCAAACAGGACTTTTTGACTTCCGATCTAGCTACCCACATAGCCAACTACTCAAAATCACATCAAACATATTGCTATTGTCAACAGCTTTTCCGTATCACCTCACGAACTTCGCAAAGGCAACTGATGTTTCTTGAACCGATTCCCAGACCTTATTCTTCGTTAATATTACACTTCCATCATGCATAGTTCCACTGAGAACTAAAATACTCCAATGCCTTAGCAAAATATCACATGCTTTGAAAAAATTAATTGTGTCAGATCCATTTCCTAGTAAATCTAGTACACGCAACAAGCAAAATGCAATAAAAATTAACACAAAATGAATACAAGGCATCCTCTGAATGTTTTCTGCAAAAAGATTATGCCTCTAAAAAATTACACAATACACATATACATATGCATTGGTCAGGCTGATGATCGGGGAAAAAACAATTTCCACAGTCTCTCAGCAACTCCCACCTCTCCCAAAAAAAAGAGATGAACAACAAGATTACTCCCACCCATACACACACAAAGGAAAAATTCGTACCCTTCTAGAAGAATCTGGAACAATCAAGAACTGCACCACTGAAAGCAGATTCAAAGGGAGCCCATTAATAGCAGTGTATTGAAGGGAGCCAGCAAATACACCAAATACACCAAATACAAAATTTCCTGAATATCAAATCAATATACCGTAAGTCATACCTCATCAATTTTCTACACATGGATTATGAAAGAGTACAGAATAATTTTTGGAGAATTCCACTGCTTCAACAACTTTGAAAGTTCTGGCAAAAATACGTAATTTTTTATGCAGAAAAATTTTCTGTATGGCTTAGAATGAATTTAAAAAGCTTAATGCTCTCTCTCTCTTTTTTTATTTTATTTTAACCTGATCTTAATTATTATAGAGGAGGAAGGCTCTACTGATAAAAAAGGCATTGCTAAAAAAATTTCTTTCATTCAGCATTTCCTAAATAAAGTATAAAAAAACTCAGAGCATGCAGAGAAAGATTAATGATGACTATACATTCTCAGACCACACTATTTTAGACTACACAGTCCATTACATAACTAAACAGAAGCCTGATCAAAAGTGATGATAAAGGTGATGTGCAAGGTTGAGCTATTGTAAAATGTAAAAATAAATTGTTAGGGATTACCAAATTCACATGACAGTCTGCCAAGCAAAATTCTAGACTGGATCATCACTTGTGACGAAAAGTGGGTTTACTTCAACACCATAGGCTGAAAAAAAAAAGGGGGGTTGGTCTGTACCTGGCAAGCTCGTTGGGAGCATTGCAAAGTGCAGTTTGTCTAACAAAAAGATCATGCTTTGTATCTGGTGGGATTGCCATAATATTATCCACAAAGGATATCTGTAAAAAGGTAAAACCCTTGACAGTAAGGTGTACAGCGAGATGCTACTTTATGTACACGCTGCTGTCAAGGAAAAACGTTGAACTGAGTTCCAGCATAAAAAGGAAATGTTCCATTAAGATAATGCAAGTCCACATGTGTCTACCTTCACCAGCAGTACTCTCTACACAGACTAGAAATGGATTTTTTTGCCAAATACTCCATATAGACCCAACATCGCTCCTTCATACTTCTACCTTTTTTCACATTTGCAGCTACATCTTGCTGGTGCCATCTTTCATTCTGCACAGAACGTCCGAAATGAGGTTGATCTGTTTTTGGACTCATGGCCACTAAGTTTCTGGTCGAGGGCTTTGAAAGACTACCAAAATTTTGGCAGAAAATAATAGATTTGGCTGGAGATTGCTACCTGCATTAAAGGTACTGTTTTCAGGTTTTCCCCCCTAACTTTATTAAGAACGTTTTATGGTGAAATATTTTTGTTACAAGAAGATATTAATATTCCTACTGTTTATTATATTCACTTAACATAATTTTCCTAATGCATATTAGCTGATAGATTGCTTAAATATTAAACGAGGCATTACTATTAGTCCAAGATTATAGATATAATTGTTCTGATCCACATTAATTTCCTTCTATGTTTCAAAGAAATACTATATATTGTGCATAAATCTTCTTATCAAATGAAATTGTTCATAATTACCATCTTCTCCAGTCATTTGTACTATAGGTTGTGATGGTTCACTTGCACTTTTGTTGTTGTAGGCTCTAACATAAAATGTATAATTGGTATATGGCTTCAGTCGTTCAATAACAAGACTTGTATTTACAGCCACAGCATCTTGTTCTAAGCCCCCTGAAAAAAGAAGCAATGTAATAAAATATTTTAACAATTTCATAACACACACAAACAGACTAATTTTAAATGCATCTGTAGCCACTCCACTAATTTTAGACAATGTGGATGATAATAACATGGATGAGGTCTCAAAGGGCATTTTTATAACATTTCCTGAAAACTTCTTACACAGCTATAATATTAGATTGCAATCCGTTCTAAGAGAAAAATTCTATGAACATTCATTAAAAGAACATGAATATAACTGTTGTTAAAACTAAAATGATTTCAGCCCAAAGGCAAATTAGTTTTACTTGGAATTAAGCAAACTACATTAATTACAGCCCTAATTCCCTTACATTTTTATTGCCTTTATGTACAGTTGGATGCCACTTTTTTATTTCCTTTATAACAAGGTAAATGCCACTTTATTTCCTTTATAAAATAAGCTGGGTATTAGCCAAATTAACTTAAAAGAAAAGAAAAAAAAAAAAAAAAAAACTGCATATTTCGTACACATAAATTGTTTAGACTCCCCCCCTTAAAAATAACTCGATTATCTTGACTTCCTTGAGCGGAATATTAAATTATACGCATTTTTTCAGCATTTCATTTAAACTTATTGGAATGATTAAATCTACTTCGCCGACAGCACATAAACCACAATAGAATAAATGCATTCTTTAAAATTCACTCTAGTATTTGTTTACCATAGCGACACTCTGGCTCTACATTCATTTAACAGTATTATATTTCGTTCATATTATAACTCATAATGCACAAAATTTATATCATTTAAAGAATAGAATTATCTAATCGTTGCTACATGTTCTATTCAAATACTATAATAAAGCTATAATGATGTATAAAAGAAATTAAGCAAATAAAACAAAAAAGAAACAGTTTTTCACAGACCAATTGAGTATTTTTCTCATTCAATTAATTCAGTTCTCACTTCGCGAGAAGGCAAAAATACATAAAAACTCAAAATATCTATATTAAAAATTTCGAAGTAAATCTTAAACACTTATTTCCTCGAAAAAATTCCAAAAAGAATTAAGCATGATTTAATTGGCAATAATAAATGAATGCCTTATCTTTGTTATTGCAAAGCTAAGTTTCTCTAGATTGCCAACAAATCCACTAGTTTCCTGTTTCAAATGTAAACATCAACGGACGCCATTAAAAAAAGGCTTAGCGACACTTAGACAACTTTAAAATTGTTGATAATTCTAAAAATATTGCATACAGATTTACTACAGGCATAAAAACCTTAACCGGAAGATAAAAACAACATAATTCAATCATTTTCAAAGCAAAAAATGTACAATTTACAAACACATAAGCTGAAACTGAGATCACTGAGCCGGGTAACAGAGTGGATATATATATAAATATATTTTATACACATTTGGTGCAGCCGATTGCAACAAAAATACGAGGTGCACATCTACATGTTATAGCAGTCCTATATACAAAATTTCAACGTTCTGAGGCTACTCGTTTTTGAGTTATGCGTACGTACGCACGCACGTACATACGTTCGTACAGACGTCACGAAAAATTCTCTTCAGAATTAATTTTAAAGCCGTTTTATAATTTTTTTTGAGGAAACGAGTCTTTTATTCTGTCCTTACGTACAGGTATCGTGCAAAAACTTCATTAAATTGCATTCAATAGTGGTCAAAATGGATATTTTCGTTGAAATATGCTGCCTGAAATTTTCGCGATTACAATACTTCCTTTTTACTTCATACAAGGAAGTAAAAATGAAAAGTAAAAAATAAATAAATAAATGTATACCTACCACTTAAATTACTTTCAGAGTAATTCTTAAACAAAAGGAAATATATATATATATACAGTACACTCCCGATTATCAGGGGAATTGGGTGGCGCTGCTGCCGTGGATAATAAAAATCACGGATAATCCAAAAAAAGCTAAAAACAGGTATAGCAAAAGAGGAAACAGTCATTCCATCTTTGCAAAATTGTTTTATGTATAAACAGCAGGGAATGTTTAACTAACGCTTAATATTTTAGTATATCACTCAAAACTAACCTAAAATGCATCTTGTTAATGAAAACAGAAAAGTGCTTTGTACCCAGTCATTTGTGTTTGCTTCTTGCTTTGGAAGCATTTTCTATTCATCCGAGATTGTATTTTTCGCAGCATAAGTTTCTCGGCCAACTCCGCGTCGTCTTGTTTTTCTGAATAGCTCAGCAGTCCATCGACTTGTTGCAAAGCCGCTTCGTGAGTCTTCAAATTCTTCACAGTGGGCTCTTATTCGCCTTCACTTCGCTGTCCTTCATTCTCGGTCTCTCCCCTTGCTTTCTTTACAATTTCGTCATCTGTCAAGCGTTCGAAGCCAGGTTCGTTGACGTCACACTCCAACCACTCGTTAATGTTTTCAGCATCGACGTTCTCACCACTCGGAACTGTTTTCACCATATCGGCAAGATTTGGCATAGGCGTGTCTACATCTTCATTCTCTTCCTCACAACTCAAAGGGGTTAGGTTGCTGCTGGCTTCAACATTAGGCATGAGTTTTCTCCATGATTTTAAGAGGGTTGACAGTTTCACTGAATCCCATGCAGATGCAATATCATAGCTCCTGTCCAAGATTGTGTAGTGTTCTCAAAACTCTTTCAGATGATAACTTTCTTCAATTTTGGTCATTAGCAGCTTGGTTTGGTATGTTCTCTTCATTGCTGCAATGACTCCTTTGTCCATGGGTTGGATTAGCGCAGTAATGTTTGGGAGGAGAAGCTTTGCAAAAATTTGTCCATCAGAAGACTAGCACGCTTGTTGCTGGGTGAGAAGGTGCGTTGTCGATCAATAGCACAGCTTTTTCAGGCAGGTTTTTCGATTTAAGATGTTTATACACTTGAAGAACAAAGATTTTTTTTGGACCATTCTTGAAAAATGTTTCGGTTCATCCATCCCCCCCTTTTTTTTTGGTTAAAGTAATCAACGGGCAAATTTTCTATCCTTGTGCCTTTGAAAGATCTCTCATTTTTTTTTTTTTTTTTTTTTACTTTCCAATGACAAATCAAGTCTAAGTTTATGTCCACCGGTAGCGTTACTGCAAGACATGATAGTGATCCTGTCCTTGCTGCTTTTATGACCCGCCGCTTTACTTTCACTTTCAAATACTAAAGTGCGAGTGGGAAGACATTTCCACAAAAGTCCCGATTCGTCAGCATTGTAAATTTGTTCAAAAGATAGCTCTTCTTTTAAAACAAATTCTTCAAATTCATGGCAGAAATCGTCGGCTGCTTGTTGGTCACCACTAAGTTCCTCCCCATGAAGTCCAATTTCTCGAATTCCATGTCGCTGCTTAAAACGAGTCAACCAGCGAGAAGACGCATCAAAATTTATTTTCAGGCCTAACAACTCAAAAAAGGTTTTTGCCTTCTCCGCAATGATAGCACCATTTACAGGAGTACCCTCTTTTTGAACTTGAGCTAACCAATCTCCCTCAATCGGGAGTCTACTGTATTCTGTTTACAAAGCCCCCCCCCAACAGAAAAAACGTCTGTGAATTTAATCCCTGGACAAAATCTGCCAATACATTCTGCACATGCAGCACTAGACTGACAAAGCTTAAAAAAGTGCTGGATCTGAAATTCCAGACTTGATGATAAGAAAATTCTTGTTTTTTAGGATGGTAATGCCCAAGTGCTTAAGTTGAATTTCTGGGTTTATTAACTGAAAATTTCTGATTTTAGCTTTCTTTAATATATTCCATGCAAATATTGGTGAAGAATAGAGATATATTCTTAAAAGTAGAATTTATAAAGGTATTTCTGGTATTAAAAAAAAAAAAAAAAAAAAAAAAGAAGAAATGCATTTAAGTTTGAAAGTAACACCTGAAAAATTGTGGGCAAATAAACCCTTGATACAAGCCATATAATTTTAAAATTAACTGCGACAATAAAAATGCCCTGTCTAGCTCATCAAAGTTTCATAGTTTTTCGCGTTTTCATTGCGGAAGCACTGTCCAATATTGATACAAAGTTCATCAGTTTGTCTTTTTCCTTTAGAATATCACGCACTGTTGTTTCCCCGATTCCATAATCCAATTCCATCTGCTGCCTTGTAGCGCCGTGTGCTACTTTGGAAATTAATTCTCGTTTTTACGCAATCATCAACACAACCTTCTTTCGTTTTCCTGACATTTTAAATCGATAACAAAAAAGAAAAAAAAAAAAAAAAAAAAAAAAAAAAAACCAAAAAGCACAAGTGTTGAACACAATAAAAGATAAGAAATTAACTCTGACCAGTTCGCAAACACTATCAGGCTTAAACTAACAATGGCAAGTGGGAGGAAGTGGACGTGTCAGTAAGATTAAGATGAGAGAGGGCGGTGGAGCGGGCACTGAAAGGGTGAGTAAAAAATCACTTACTCAACAGAGGGAAAGGTTCCGAGAAGGCCTCGGATATTTTTGCGATAAATAAGCACGATGTTAGTAAATTTAACGTTTCACTCGGTTTTGTGAACATTTTTATTTTCTTTGCTTTATGGTTGTAAAAAATAAAAAAAAAAACTTTGTGCGGCAGGTGCGGATAATCGGGAGTCTACTGTATTCTGTTTACAAAGTCCCCCAACAGAAAAAACGTCTGTGAATTTAATCCCTGGACAAAATCTGCCAATACATTCTGCACATGCAGCACTGGACTGACAAAGCTTAAAAAAGTGCTGGATCTGAAATTCAGACTTGATGATAAGAAAATTCTTGTTTTTTAGGATGGTAATGCCCAAGTTGAATTTCTGGGTTTATTAACTGAAAATTTCTGATTTTAGCTTTCTTTAATATATTCCATGCAAATATTGGTGATGAATAGAGATATATTCTTAAAAGTAGAATTTATAAAGGTATTTCTGGTATTAAAAAAAAAAAAGAAGAAATGCATTTAAGTTTGAAAGTAACACCTGAAAAATTGTGGGCAAATAAACCCTTGATACAAGCCATATAATTTTAAAATTAACTGCAACATTAAAAATTAATTTTAA